GGCCAGATTTGAACCCATCACCTTAGGTGTATGTGGCTGTCACCTTAGCCACTTGAGCCACAGGCACTGAGCCGATTCTTCTTAATATGGTTGTGTTCATGCTGTGAAAATGCCTTAAATATATATTTTTTATTTATTGTATTTTAGTATATGCATATATACAAAGTTTCAGCCAAACAAACAAACAAAAACTCACTTAAATCTAAATATGGGTCAGGCACAGTAGCTCATGCCTGCAATCCTAGCATACTTTCGGGAAGCCAGGGATGGAGGTTCACTTGATACTGGAAGTTTGAGATCAGCCTGGGCAATAGTGAGACCTTATTTCTACAAAAATTAAAAAGGAAAAAAAAATAGCCAGGCATGGTGGCGCATGCCTGTAGTCCCAGCTACTTGGGAGGCTGATGTGAGATCACAAGTCCAGGAGAAGTTTGAGATGGCAGTGAGTATGGCTAGATACTGTAGTCTAGCCTGGGCAATGGAGCAAGACCCTGTTCTAAACAAAATAAAACAACCCCCCAAAACTAAGTATGTTACAACTACATACAAAAACTAAGATTAAATTAATAGGCAAGAGATAACTGGAAAATGCATATTAAAAAAAAACCTCGAGGTCAGATATATTTAATACTAATTACAATGCAAATTCTTAAAAATTTTTCACTTACAAGCATATCAAGAACAAGGGCCAGGTGTAGGTGGCTCACACCTGTAATCCTAGCACTCTGGGAGACCAACAAAGTTGGACTGCTTTAGCTCAAGAGTTCGAGACCAGCCTGAGCAAGAGCAAGACTCTGTCTCTATAAAAAATAGAAAAACTACCCAGGTGTGGTGTCAGGTGCCTATAGTCCCAGATACCTGGGAGGCTGAGGCAAGAGGATTTCTTTTTTTGAGACAGAGTCTCACTTTGTCTCCCTCAGCATCTTAGTTCACAGCAACCTTAAACTCTTGGACTTAAGTGATTCTCTTGCTTCAGCTTCCCAAGTAGCTGGACTACAGGTGCCCACCACAACGCCCGGCTATTTTTAGAGACAGGTTTCGCTCTGGCTCAGGCTGGTCTCCAACTTGTGAGCTTATGCAATCCTCCTGCCTCAGCCTACCAGCTAGATTACAGATGTGAGCCACCACATCTGGCCTCACAAAAGGATTTCCTGAGCCCAAAAGTTTTAGGTTGCTGTTAGCCATGATACCACAGCAGTCTACCCTGGGGTGACAGAGCCTCAAAAAAAAAAAAAAAGAAAGAAAAGAAAGAAAGAAAGGAATATAGTACCCAAAGCAATCTACAGATTCAATGCAATTGTTATTGAAATTCCAAAGATGATTTTTGCAAAAATGGAAAATCCAATTCTAAATTCATATGCAATTGCAAAGAGCTCAAAACTGAATAAGAATAATAAAGTTGGAGGACTTGAAACTGCCTGATTGCAAAATTTGCTAAAAAGCTACAGTGATCAAAATAATGTGTTATGTATTGCCATACAGACAAACATAGACCAATGGAACAGAACTGAGAATTGAGAAATAAATCCATACATTCATGGCTAAATCATTTTCAACAAAGATGCCAAGACCATTTAAAGAGGAACAACAGTCTCTTTAATAAACGGTACTGGGACAACTGAGTTATCAGGTGCTCAACATCATTAGTCATTAGGGAAATGAAAATCCAAACCACAGGCAGGGTGTGGTGGCTCATTCCTGTAATTCTAGTCCTTTGGGAGGCCGAGGTGGGTGGATTCCTTGAGCTCAAGAGTTTGAGACCAGCCTGAGCAAGAGGAGACCCCATTTATACTAAAAACAGAAAAAATTAGCTAGGCATGTAGAGGAGCCTGTAGCCCTAGCTTCTCAGGACACTGAGGCAGCAGAATTACTTGAATCCTGGAGTTTGAAGTTGCTTGAGGTCATGGCACGCCAGCCTGGGCAAGAAAGCCAGACTCTCTCTCTCAAAAAAAAAAAAAAAAAAAAATTTATGCTAAGTGAAAGAAGCCTAATAGAAAAAGTCCCATATTATAAGATGCCATTACTATGAAATATCCAGAACAGGTAAATTCAGGGAAAGGGCATTGGTGTTTACCAGGGGTAGGTTGAGAGGGAAATGGGAAGGAATAACTTAATGAATACAGATTTTTCTTTTGAGATAACGAAAAAGTTTTGGGACCAAGATAAAGTAGTTGTACCGCATTTTGAATATACTACATGCCTTGAGGAGGCGCCTGTGGCTCAAAGGAATAAGGCGCCAGCCCCATATGCCAGAGGTGGTGGGTTCAAACTCAGCCCCGGCCAAAAACTGCAAAAAAAAAAAAAAAAAGAAAAAACAAAAACAAGAATATACTGCACACCACTGAATAATATACTTATTTTTGGTTTTGTTTCTTTTGGGATTTTCATTTGTTTTGTTTTGAGACAGAGTATCACTCTGTCACCCAGGCTAGAGTACTGTGATCATTAACTCACTGTATCTTTGAACTCCTAGGCTCAAGGGATTCTTTTGCCTCAGCCTCCAAAGTAGCTGGGACTATAGGCATGTGCCACCATACCCAGCAAGATTTTTTATTTTTATAGAGACAACATCTTGCTCTGTTGCCCAGGCTGGTCTCAAACTCCAGGCCTCAAGTGACTCTCCTACCCAGCCTCTCAAAGTGCTGGGATTACAAAGCTAAGTGGACTCAGCCTGTATTGCACACTTTTAATAAAAGTTAATTTTTTATTATACAAATTTACTCAATTAAAAAATACAGGAAGAAAAAGCTATCTGAAATACAGGGAATTATGAGAAAAGAAATCCCACAATCATATTGGAACTTCAAAAATACATGTTTTAAAATTTGACAGATTAAAGAGACAAAGAATAAATGGGATCTTAGAAAACTGATAAATTATACTAGAAAACTGATTGTTTTCTTCCAAAAAACTGAAAAAGAAATTAAGTAAAAAACAAAATATACAGGGCAGTGCCTGTAGCTCAGTGGGTACGGTGCCAGCCCCATATAATAAGAGTGGAGGGTTCGTACCCGGTCCCGGCCAAACTGCAACAACAAAAAAATAGCCAGGCCTTGTGGCAGGCGCCTGTAGTCCCAGCTACTTGGGAGACTGAGG